TCACTACAAGTAATCCGATGCAAAATGACGCGCATGCGTGGAGTAGCGCTTAGAGTAAACGTTACCATGACAGCGAACATCACGTGAGGTCCAGACCAGTTTCTGCTCCGCCATGTTGAGCGGTGTAAACTTTCGCCGTGACGCGACGCACATGCGCAGAACATACTTACACGTTCCGATTGGAATGTAATCGGATTCAGGCGTTTACACAGCTATTATTCTTCTATTTAACGGATTATTTAGAAGTTTACCCACCTCGTTTAATCGGATAGAAATTGTATTCCGAATGGCCTCAATCGGACTAGACTATTCCGACTGAGGTGTTTACATGGACGTGTTCTATTCCGATTGAGCTATTAGTCGAATTATTAACGGATTATCAGGCTGCATCTAAACGTGGCTACTGAAGTATTTCTTTCTCCATTCAATCATTCCATTCATTGACTTCTGAGAAAGCGTTACCCAAAACATTTTAGTGACAAAATGGATAGTAACAAAATGATATAGTGAAGTATATTTCACTTTATTTTAATATTCTGTTTTTCTGTTCAACAGACCGCATTACAAATTATAGAACATGCTTTAAAACTACTTACAGAACAGGTTCTAAGCTTAGCTATATCAAACATACTGAGCCACACTTTACAGTATCACATCTAATTGTACGTTTCGTTGTTGCTAAATTGTTCAAAACAAAAAGGTAGAGGAGTACTCGTTAGACAATATGGCCAAAAATATGTGGACACATGACTATCACAACGATATGCGTTCTCCTGGCATCCACCAAACCAGATTCGTCCTTCAGACTGCCAGTGTGAGTGCATCCAGTGCTCACACTCCAGAGAACACGTTTCCACTGCTCCAGAGTCCAGTGTGCTTTACACCACTCCAGACGACACTTGGCATTGCGCATAGGTTTGTGTGCAGCTGTTCGGCCATGGAAACCCATTTCATGAAGCTCTTGACACTCAGTTCCAGTGCTGATTTTGCTTCCAGGCGCACTCTGTATCGAGTGATTCAACAGAGGTGATTTTTACATGTTATGTGCTTCACAACTTGGTGAGATTGCATGGTCTACTGCTTTGCGGAGGAGCCGTTGTTGCTTCTAGACACTTCCATTTCACAAAGATGGCACTTACAGTTCACCAGGGCAGATCTAGCAGGACTGAAAATTTACTAACTGACTTGTTTGAGTGTTTGTCTATGGAGTTTGCAAGGCTATGTACTTGATTTTATACACCTGTAAGCAATGGGTGCGGCTGAAACACCTGAAGTCAGTAATTAGGAGGGGTGTCCACATACTTTTGGCCATTTAGTGCATGTAGTGACCTAAATAGAAAAGAAATGAAAAGGAAGTAATGAGGTCAAAGGTCACTAGTGACCCACGGTATGCCTTTGAGGGTTAAAAGCACATGTGGGCGTGAGAATATCTGCTCTGCAGCCGGAGCTCCAAGCAAAAATCAATCGCAACACAATAAGTGACTGCCAGGGCCGTAAACACAGAACTTAACTCGGTGTGTTTCAGACGCTGTAATCGGGTCAGTCGCGCGAAAAGTCAAGAAGCTTCTTAATCAGAACGAGAAACAGATTAACCCCTGAGGCCGTCAATTCCCACTCAAGAGGATTCTGTGCTTCAGCCTCCAGAAGACATAACATTTAAGTGCACTTCAGTGACTGCTATGCTATTATACTATTGCACTTTTGCTTACACTGCAAAAAATGGCATTGAAATCTAGTTGATGTAGCTAATATCTCTTCTGTTGATACTCAGTTTATATCACAATACCTACCTTTAGAGTCAGTTATTCATTCAGCCTAATGAGAAACTGTAGAACAGACTCAGTTTATATCACAATACCTACATTTAGAGTCAGTTATTCATTCAGCCTAATGAGAAACTGTAGAACAGACTCGGTTTATATCACAATACCTATATTTAGAGTCAGTTATTCATTCAGCCTAATGAGAAACTGTAGAACAGACTCAGTTTATATCACAATACCTACATTTAGAGTCGGTTATTCATTCAGCCTAATGAGAAACTGTAGAACAGACTCAGTTTATATCACAATACCTACATTTAGAGTCGGTTATTCATTCAGCCTAATGAGAAACTGTAGAACAGACTCAGTTTATATCACAATACCTACATTTAGAGTCAGTTATTCATTCAGCCTAATGAGAAACTGTAGAACAGACTCAGTTTATATAACTGACTCTACATTTAGAGTCAGTTATTACTGCTACTGAGTGCTGATTGGTTGACATTATTGGTTGACAAATTACAATTTTGCTCAAAAGCTCCACAGAAATGCATTCATTTTAGGCAATCTTTAGCGCCCTCTAGCGTCAGCCAAACCCCCGAAGACACTGACTAACAATTCTCCCCACTACACTTTATCTTATTAACTTAGCTAGCTAGCAAAGCTAAAATAATTTAACAACAAAATAAAACTGCACCTGATCTAACAGTGTGAGATTTCACACACACAAATAAATATCATTTCAAATTAATGCATTTTAATCAATATATATCTGCAAAGCCTGAGTGCTGCGCTAACATTTCTCTTTAGGTTGAAGGGGATTTTGGCTAATATTCTCTGACGCTTGTCCAACACTAGCTGTAAAAGGACACATCTGTGGGCGGAGCCCGGGTCGCTCAATTAGCCAGACTGGACACAGGGAGCGGGGCAGAATCACAGACTGATGAGGTTATTAGCCGCTCCACAGCTGGGTCCAACCGTAAGGTACGGCAGCGCTGCCCGAGAGGCCCAGCTCAGTCTCCTGGGAAACGGAGGGAAAATCCTGACTGTGGAGAGAAAGAGAAACCCCCACTATTCTGGCAGTGTGGGGGAGAACAGAGGGGGCAGGAGGGGGGCAGGAGGGGGTGGTCCTTTCCCAGCTCACTCTCCACTATACAGTGTTAGTGCACTGCCTGGGAAAAAGCTCTGAATGTGAGCGTATTTACATGCAGCACGACTACCTGCCCCTCTTTAGACTGAGAGGGCTGAAGGTTAGAGGATGTGGACAGTCATCAACAGCAGACCGGCTGGATTGTAATATGAGACAAAGAGCCTCTTTTATTGTGTAAAATGCATATAAAGTATTAATAACCGTGGGATTTTTACCAGGTCAGTGGTTTGTTTACATATAACCACACCTACATGCAGCAACATTATTGAAAAACCTTTATATTTATTTATTTTTTTAAAAGTACTACCAGGCAAAAGTTTGGACTGGATTTAAATTCATGGTCAAAATCCAATTTAAATAATTACTATATTTGTAAGATAATAAATACTGATATATTATCATAATTATATCATCATGCAAAATGATATATATAACAATTTTGCATATAATGAGTTTTTGAGAGGAATAAACACACAATGGAAAACACATTTTATCATCTCTAATAAAGTTAATATTAATTGTAATTTATCCCTGATATGTCTTGTTTGTTTAAAGTCCACTCCAAACAATGGATAACAGGGAAAAAATCTCTTTGGAATGAAACCCATATATGAATTAATGAATGTAATGAATCAATATATTATATACTTGAAATATTCTATAATTGAATGTATTCTATAATTCTATATATTCTATGATTTGATGTATTCTGTAATCCAATATGTCCTATAATTTGATATTCTATAATTGGACATATTCTATAATTCAATATATTCTATAATTCTATATATTCTGTGATTTAATGTATTCTGTAGTTCAATATGTCCTATAATTTGATATATTCTATAATTTCATGTAAACCGTAATTAAACAGATTCTAAAATTTGATATATTCTTTAATTCAATATATTCTGTAATTTGATGTATTCTGTAATCCGATATGTCCTATAATTTGATATGTTCTATAATTTGATGTATTCTATAATTCTATATATTCTATCCTGTTCCAGTGTGAGCAAAAGAAAAGACCATTCATATAAAAATAAACTAATATTATAACATGTTTACAGCTTATGGATTCCTGGCAGGTTTATTTTGAGAACTTTGAATTATTCCATTTGAAATGATTTCAGGCACAAATGCTTACAGACCATTATTACTACTAATAATAATAATCATCAGAATGATGACAGTATTCATTTATATATCACCTTCCACTCAGTGAAATGCAGCAGTCTTGTTTCAGGCTGGCAGTGTGACCATGTGCTCCTCACACACACTGAGACACAAAGACACGCATGGCTCAGACCAGCCCAACACCACCCAGCACCACCAATCACCCACCACACAACCCAACACCGACCCCCCAGCACCCCCCAACACATAGGGCTTCAGCTCAAACCCATCACAGCATCTCTAAGCAGCTGGACAGGGTGGAAAGGAGAGAGTTTGGATCTCCAGCTGAAAGCCGTGCTCGTCTCCACCATCCATTTCCAGTGTGTGTGTGCTGGGGGGAGGAGACCGGGAGCAGATGGTGCACAGGCGCGTGAAGACAGGCCACGCGCTCCTGAACGGAACTCCCCCACGGCCACACAGCCACACGCTCTCCTCCCTATTCTTCCACTATCCCTTCATAGTAAACGGATGGAGACAGTAGATAGAGAAGCACTGTGGCTCCAGTAGGTACGTATACGCATGTATGTGTTTAAGGATGTGTGTATGTGTTTGTGCATAGTAGCCCTCCTCCTCCTCCCTCATTTACTCTGTCGCCTCCCTCTAACCCCCCCAAAACCCCCCTCTCCTCCCCTCCCTCTACCCCCCTCCCCTCCCTAAAGTCTTTGTGTTCACGTTTCTCTCCACATTCCGTTCAGCCGGAGTCCTTCAGGAGGCTGCGAGGAAGTCACTGCACCTCCATTCATTCATTCAATCATTTATCGTCCTACCTTATCTTCTGTCCATCCATCTACACACACACACACACACACACACGCCCAGTGGAGACGGCTGCGGAGCTTCACACACTCCAGACTGAGATGGATTAGACTCTACTGGGTCAAACTGGAGCATCACAGACGGAGAAAACGACGGGGACGGGGGCGCAGGGAGACGGTGTGCGCTCACCATCACCACCAGAGAGAAAGAGGTGAGAGAGTGTGTGTGTGTGTGTGTGTGTGTGTGTGTGTGTGTGTGTGTGTTGTGCTCTATGAGGAAGTATTTTAGCCTGCTGGCTTTCAGAGTGTAGTATGGATTATTGACTGTAATGTGGCGTGTTGGGTGTAGCGTAGCTCATTGAGTACAGTGACTCATTGAGTGTGGTAGAGTATAGTGTCGCTTATTGAATATATTGTGCCAGACTGAGTATACTAGAGTATAGAGTAGCTTATTAAGAATACTGTGACTCATAAAAATAGTATAGTGTGACTAATTGAGTATGGTGTGGTTGACTCAGTATACTATAGTTTAGCTTATTAAGTGTACTGTGACTTATTGAGTATACTAGAGTATAGTGTAGCTTATTAAATGTACTGTGACGTGTTGAGTATACTAGAGTATAGTGTAGCTTATTAAGTATACTGTGGCTCATTTTAAATAGTATAGTGTGGCTAACTGAGTAAAGTGTGGCAGACTGAGTATGCTAGAGTAAATGGTTGCTTATTAAGTGTACTGTGGCTTATTGAGTGTACTAGAGTATAGTGTAGCTTATTAAGTATACTTTGGCTCATTAGGGTATAGTAGAGTCTACAGTGGCCAGTTGTTTATTAGAGTATGGTGTAGTTTATTAAACATACTGTGGCTCATGAGGTATAGTAGAGTATTGTGTGGTATATTGAATATAGTCTGGCTGACTGAGTGTACTAGATCATAGTGTAGCTTATTCAGTATACTGTGGCTCATTAAGCTTATTACATATACGGTGGATCATTAAGTATAGTAAAGTATAGAGTGGCTAACTGAGTTTGTGTGACTGAGTATACTACAGTAGAATGTAGCTTATTAAGTATATTCTGGCTCATTAAGCTTATTAAGTCTACTGTGGCTCATTAAGTGTTAGAGTATAGTGTGTCTAATTGAATTCATTGACTGAGCATACTGGAGTATAGAGTGGCTTATCAAGCACAGAGTGGATTATTAATATAGTGTTACTCATTGCAGAGTATATTTTGGCTAATTGACTAAAGTGTGGTGAGAGTATTGTGGCTTACTGTGTATAGTTTGGTTTTCTGAATATACCATGGCTTATTGAACATAGTTTGGCTTATTGAATGTGGTGTGGCTAAGTGAGCATTATGTGGCTCACTGCATATACTGTGGCTCATCGAATATGAAGTGGCTTATTGAGTATATACTGACGATAGTACAGTAGAGTATAGTGTGGCTAACTGAGCATGGTTTGGCTCATTGATTTACATGGCTCATTGAGTATAGTTTAGTGTTGCTTATTGAGTATAATGTGACTCAGTGTAATGATATATATTGCACTTCATTGAGAAAATAATAATATATTAATATTAATATAATAACTATGGTATGGTTTACTGAGTACAGTATAGTGTAGCTCATTGAGTTTACTGAGTATATTGGTTGTAGAGTGACTCAATGATATATTGTCATCCATTAAGTATATTAGAATACAATGTGGCCCACATACTACTGTATGTGTTCCATTGAGTATAGTTGAATACAGTGTGGTCCATTGAGTATAGTAGTATGTGGTCCACTGAGTATAGTATAATACAGTGTGGTCTACTGAGTATAGTATAATACAGCATAGTCCATTGAGTATAGTAATATGTGTCCATTGAGTATAGTAGAATACAGTGTGGTCCACTGAGTATAGTAGTATGTGTTCCATTAAGTATAGTATAATACAGTGTGGTCCATTGAGTATAGTAGTATATGTTCCATTGAGTATAGTAGTATGTGTTCCATTGAGTGTAGTATAATACAGTGTGGTCCATTGAGTATAGTAGTATATGTTCCATTGAGTGTATTAGTATGTGTTCCATTAAGTATAGTAGTATGTGTTCCATTGAGTATAGTATAATACAGTGTGGTCCATTGAGTATAGTAGTATGTGTTCCATTGAGTATAGTATAATACAGTGTGGTCCACTGAGTGTAGTAGTATGTGTTCCATTGAGTATAGTATAATACAGTGTGGTCCATTGAGTATAGTAGTATGTGTTCCATTGAGTATAGTATAATACAGTGTGGTCCATTGAGTGTAGTAGTATGTGTTCCATTGAGTATAGTAGTATGTGTTCCATTGAGTATAGTATAATACAGTGTGGTCCATTGAGTATAGTAGTATGTGTTCCATTGAGTGTAGTAGTATGTGTTCCATTGAGTATAGTAGTATGTGTTCCATTGAGTGTAGTAGTATGTGTTCCATTGAGTATAGTAGTATGTGGTCCATTGAGTATAGTAGTATATGTTCCATTGAGTGTAGTAGTATGTGTTCCATTGAGTATAGTAGTATGTGTTCCATTGAGTATAGTATAATACAGTGTGGTCCATTGAGTATAGTAGTATATGTTCCATTGAGTGTAGTAGTATGTGGTCCATTAAGTATAGTAGTATATGTTCCATTGAGTGTAGTAGCATGTGTTCCATTGAGTATAGTAGTATGTGTTCCATTGAGTATAGTATAATACAGTGTGGTCCATTGAGTATAGTAGTATATGTTCCATTGAGTGTAGTAGTATGTGTTCCATTGAGTATAGTAGTATGTGTTCCATTGAGTGTAGTAGTATGTGTTCCAGTGAGTATAGTAGTATGTGTTCCATTGAGTGTAGTAGTATGTGTTCCATTGAGTGTAGTAGTATGTGTTCCAGTGAGTATAGTAGTATGTGTTCCATTGAGTATAGTAGTATGTGTTCCATTGAGTGTAGTAGTATGTGTTCCAGTGAGTATAGTAGTATGTGTTCCATTGAGTGTAGTAGTATGTGTTCCAGTGAGTATAGTAGTATGTGGTTGATTGAGTATTGTATAACACATTGTGGTTCACTGAGTATAGTAGTGTGTGTATTGTACAGTATGGTGTAGCTCATTGAGTACAGTAGTATGTAGGGTGGCTTATTAAGTACCGGCTTACTTATAGAGTATAGTGTTGCTCTTGTAGTATAATGTTTTTTGAGTATAGTGTGCCTTCTTGAGTGAAATAATGTAGTGTGATTAGCTTTTTTTTAAGAAAGCTATTCACTATTATATCATGTGATCATATTGACAGATTAGCCCAATGTAATCTATGGTGCATGTTCACCATCAGCACGAGAGAAAGAGGTGAGATCATCATGTGTGGTGTGGTGTGGTGAGTATCCTCTCTGCCCTAGGGAGGCTATATCAGCTGACACGACGAAATAAGGTGGAGTATCAATAGCATTGTGATCATTACTGCATGACTGTGCTGCTTTCTGGTCATTTTATTACACAGATGTGGATCAGCGAAGATTTTAAAGTGGGCTGAGCTGCTTTCTTAGACCCCTGATGTGATTTTGTACAATTTTTAATGAGCTTGTAACATATTTTCAATATATTTTATATGGATGAGAAGAATCCCAAGCTGCTTATTGTTCTCCCCCTCAATAGATAAGAAAAAGAGAGAGAGAGAGAGAGAGAGAGAGAGAGAGGAGATGCATTCATAACTTTGTAGCTTTAAATCTTATTTCTCCTGTTCTGTGTTTTATTATTAGCATGCACTAAATCCAAAATATCCAAAATGTCCTTTTTCATGCTTAAATTTATACTTTTATGTATGTAATGATTTAAAATGATCAGCTGTATGGACAATAGACTGTGCATGTCCAGCATAATTATGATATAAAGAGAATATTACGGACATTATATACAAAAAAAATGTATAAAAAGAACAAAGAGTCTTCCTGTTACAGCGTGTCTAGGGGGTGCTCCCTGCACCTCCCTCCAGTTCCCCCACTCAGGCTTCACATTCACTTTCTTTGGGTTTCTCTGGATGCCAAAAACACTCACCATCATTTAGCATTTGACAACAGTTAATGAAATGTTGTGGGATAGTTCTGTGGACAGTGCTGGACTGCTGACCACAGTGGCTCTGATTTATAATCCCATTGCAGAAATGACAGACTGGAGAATCCAGTGCTGTGCAAAAGTCAAAGGAAGCAAAAGGACGTTTGTCTGGGCAGTGTGTGTTTACCAGTAAAACCAGTAGATAATATCAGAATAAACATAAATAAACAAAAAAACACAAATAAAGAAGAACCATTAACGCGAAAACTCTCTCTTGAAACACTTCTACAGTCTGCTAGCCGTTTACTGGATCTTGTTTGTATGTTAGCGTTCATATAACAGCCATTCACATGAACATTTTCGTCCATCCTTGATTAAACACGGACATGTGAAGCTTGTGAAAGACGTTCCACACGTTTTACATGAAGCTTATAATATACTTTAATGTATATTAGAGCTTGTGCTCTGCAAAAAAGCTGTTATTGCAATGAAATTATCTAATATGTAGTCACTATGTCTAATATTTCTCGCGGGGAGACTATTTAACTGATTCCTAGGCATTTTTCTTGTTTTAATAATTTTATCAAGTAAAACTTTCTCACTATATTGGCAAAGTTTTGTGCTTATTTTAAGATAATATGCTGCCAGTATAGTGAGATCACTTTACCTGACAGAATTACTTAAAATAAGAAAACATTTAAAATAATTTAGCTGATTATTTTAAGTAAGTTTATCAAGTTATTAACTGATATAAGAAATATTAGACATATTGACTAAATTTGAGATAATTTCACTTACCAAGATACTTTTTTGCAGTGACGATATTTGAGTGTAAATATAAAATCTAGTCAATATATCTATTATTTCTCATTATAAGATTGTCATAAGAATATTGTGAGATTATTTAAGTTATTTCTGGACATTTTTACTTGTTTTTAAGCAGTTTTATCTTATAAAAGTGTCTTATTTCATTGTCAGATCATGTTACTTGTTTTAATCATTATTTCTTGAAATGAGCAAAATTATCTTCATTATTTCTCAAAACAAGTAAACTAATCTGCCAATGGAATAAGACACTTTCACCAGATAAAATCACTTAAAACAAGTAAAAATGTACAGAAACAGGTGGAATAATCTTATAATATTCGCTACGGCTCGT